TCTCCAACCCTTTCTCCAAACAGCCAGCATCATCGTTGACTTTGATGAACCCGTCGTTCTTGTTGGAGTATGTGCTCCGCTGAAAGTCCTGAAAACAGCTCCATCCCACACATCAGTCTGACATATATTGAAGCGTGTGACTTTCTTGTGGTCAATATCCATGGCCAGCTCTGCAATAATATGTAGTTGCACATTTGTTTCTCCAGATGTTCTTCTGGGGACATGTCCTGCTCTTTGTCTTCTGTAAAATCTTCAATCTCATCATCATCAATTACAATGGCCTCAAAGAGATTGGCGTAGTCATGCACACATTAGAGATGGGGGGGAAAAAAAGCATCAAGATGTACTTCCAACTTTCATTCACAAAACATTCAAATTATGTCAGAAGTTATATACAACATCCAAAGTAAATACATCTACAATAGATGTATCAGTTTCACTTTACCATATGGTGAGACCACACACACCCTTTTTCTTTCAGGAGCTCTGTAGATTGAGACATTGTCTGGTGTGTGGATTGTTGCCGTCATTGAAATCTATAGCCTGAAAACAGTGAAAACACAGGAGTAAGATTCTGCCACTCTTGGCTGTGTTGCTGGGCTTGTGTTCAGAGTTAAAATATGCAAATATGCATATCCAATTCAGCAAAAACTCCAAGGTCTTCCATTTGCAGTACGAGAAGCTGTGTCAGAGGGACTGGAACTGCTCTCGAAAGAGGGCATTAGGAAGAACATTGATGCTTCTCCCTGGATTTCTCCTATTGTGGTCCCAACAAGAAAAGTTAAGGGAACCTAATAAGGCCATTGTTACTGACAATGGCCCTTTATCCCACATGAATGAGCTTTTAAGTGAGCTCAGGGGTGTCTGTGTTTTATCCACCATAGATCTGGCATCTGCATACCACCCACTATTTCTACATTCAATTTAGTTAATTTTTATAGTGCCAATTCACAACACATCATCTCAAGGCACTTTGTAGTTCACCAGAACTTACAGTCAAATTGATTCAAAGTTTTTTATCTAAGGAAAACCAGTTGATTGCATCGGCTCATTGACTCTAAGGCAATCTCTTACATTAAGCATGCTTGCAGCGACAGTGGAGAAAAAATAAACGTCATGGGGAACCAGGCTCAGTGTGAGCGGCCATCTGCCGAGGCCGACTAGGGTTCAAGGAGACAAAAGCAGACATACAGAAAGAAGCAGAGATACAAAAGGCAACTGCAAAAGGTGGCCCTGTCCAGGAAACACACAGTGAGGCAGACGAGGTCCGAGCCAGCTGCCATGGCAGAGGATGAAGAGAGCACATCCAGCCACAGTCAGAGAAACAGGACTACACTGAAAAACAGGCAGATCTCCAATATTTATAATCAAAGGTGTTGGTGGCAACACAGCCAATATTTCTCTCCAGGGTGGTGTCACAGCCAAACAGGAACAGACGAGGCACAGCTACTATGAGAAAAAGCAAAGAGAACATAACATTAGAGATTGAACTAACAGGTTCTGCAGAGTGGGAGAACAGAGATAGAATGAAGCAGAATGATGAAAAAGGTGTCCCTATGCCTTCCAGAAGTCTAAGCCTATAGCAGCATAACTAGAGAGATAGCTCAGGATAACCTGAGCCACTCTAATTATAAGCTTTATCAAAAAGAAAAAAGTGTTAAAACTACCCTTTAGCACATTGTACACTGTGCTATTTGTGGGGCGATTTTCCAGTCCTACGAGAATCTTCGATCAGGCTGACTATCAGCCTCTCATGACCACCTCCCAATCAGGAATCGTGAGGTCGGGAGAAAATCAAACATGATAGTATTAGTATATTAGTATAGTATAGTATAGTATAGTATTAGTATTAGTGTTGCGCCAATGCCATTTTTCGGCTCCGATACCTATACCCGATACCTGGCTGTGCAGTATCGATCGATACCGATACCATAATAATGTAAAATAATTGCCATCATGGCTTTGTCAAGCTGCTGCCTACCTTTGTGAAGCAGGAAAAACTCTAATACAAAGTGAATCCAGTAGAACTTTTTAATAAAAAGTTTTTATTGCCTACCAGGAGTGGGTGACAATAGTTGAATAAACTTATGGCTCTCAAAATGGTATCTGTGCCCTATTTTTTGGTACTCGCTGATACCGATACCACCATTTTAGGGCAGTATCGGGGCCCCGTCCGATACTGGTATCGGTGCAACACTAATTAGTATCATTAGTATAAAAGAAGCCTTCATCTCAGAAGTTACAGAAATAATAGTTTCTTTAAAACCCTCAAAGGCTAAAGATACATTTAGGCTGAGAAGCCATTTCCTTCAGCTTCACAAAGAGGCACTTACTAGGCCAATTGCTCCTCATGATAAATCGGTCCATTAATCAACAGATTAATAGTGCCATCATCATGCAAAATAGACAAAGTTAATCTAGTGTTTAAGACAGGAGACAGTTCTTTGATTTGAAATGTGCTTTTGACACAATCAACCTTAATTTTCTGCTGGCTAAGTTTACCCACTTTAATTTCTCCAAAATTGCTCTTTGCTGGATGAAATCATAGCTGTGCGACAGAAAACAAGCAGTTCAAACAGATAATTCACAGTCCACCTTCCTCACTCGTTCTGCTGGAGTTCCACAGGTATCAATACTGGGACCAATTCTACACAGCCTTTATGTTTAAAGGGGGAGAAGTAAAATGGAGGAAAGAAATAAATGATGTTATGGTACTGCTGAACGAGTTATGAGTAAACACCCTTAAGAGTTAATTGTCTACTTGAGCTTCTACCTCATCCTAGGTTACAAACATAACACTGCCATTTTTTTCACATAATTTCAAATGAATGTTTTTTCTTATGTGGTCATACATTATTTGAAGTGCATTAATATGCCCTGCAGCAAAACATCACAGCACAAAATATAGTTATTCACTGGAGCATTTGGTGACCACATAAGCAAGCATCCACAGAACAATCATTTGATCAACAATAGTCCACAACTAAGGCTATGATCACACAGCAGGCCTTGATGCTCAATTCTGCTTTTTTTCGAAATCCGATTTATTTCCAAATATATATGCGACTTCTATTTGATCTCTGTGTGAACTGCAGTCATACAGCGCAAGTTTCCCGCATGCGCAGTAGAGGACGCAATGACGTCACAGGCCAGCGTGCTATTTGTTTACGGAAGTAAACATGGATTTTAGTGGTGGCGTGCAGCTAGCGGTCTTTTCCAACAATAAAAACACAATCTTTTCAAGATGGTTAAACATAAATATTGCTCTCCGCAACATCATCTGCAATGGTTGTTTTATTTCCTGCCGCTTCTACGTAACAAGACGCATGATAGTAACCTTTCTCGGGTATTAATGATTAATCCGACCTGGCCGTTCACACACAGGTCACTTTTGAAAAGATCACATTTCTATCGGATTCAGGATCACATAGTCAAGTGACCTGGGTCGGATTGGAAAAAATTGGATCTGTGGTGTTCAGACTGCGATGAAAAGATCAGATCCAGGTCGCATATGGGCAAAAAAATCTGATTTGGGTCACTTCATGCTGCAGTGTGAATGTAGCCTAATAGGCCTATAGGCTTGGATCCACGGCGCCCTCTGGTGGGCAAAGTCCCGGATCCTGACAAGATCACCATGTCACCAGGTGACTATGAACCAATTCAAGCACTGAGTAAAATGCTTAGAAGAAATCAATGCCTAGATGTGCCATAATTTTCTTCAACTGAATAAAAACAAAACTTAAGTAATAATCTTTGGAGCAATAGAGGAGAGATCTAAAGTTAGCACACAGCTTCAGTCGCTTCAGCTAATAAAAGTATCAGGCCAGAAATCTAGGTGTAGTGCTGGATTCAGACTTGAACCTCCAAAAGCATTTAAGGACAATTACAAGGTCGGCTTTCTATCACCTGAAGAACATTTCCAGGATTAAAGGAATAATGTCTCAGCATGATCTAAAAAAACTAATCCATGTGTGTATTTTTAGTCAAATTGATTACTGCAACAGTGTTTTCACAGATCTGCCTACAAAGTGGATCAGACAGCTGCAGCTAATCCATAATGCTGCTGCCCGTGTCCTCACTAAGACTAAGAAAGTAGAGGACATCACTCCAGTTCTAAAGTCCTTACACTGGCTCCCTGTATCTCAGAGAATAGACTTTAAAATACCTCTGTTAGTCTATAAATCTCTGAATGGCTTAGCACCTAAATACATCACAGACTTGCTATCAGTGTATCAACCCTCCAGACCACTCAGGTCTTCTGGCTCCAGCCTGCTCTGCATACCTAGAACCAGAACTAAACAGCATTTAGTTCCTATGCTCCACTAATCTGGAACAAACTTCCAGAAAACTGTAAAAATGGAGAAAGCCTGAAGTCCTTTAAATTAAGACTAAAAACACATTTGTTTAGGATTGCCTTTGACTGTTCTAGTTAAACAGTTCAACTAAAACCTCATTAGTTCAACTTTTTCATTTTCTTCAATCCAACTATTTTCAATGTTCTTTTTTGTTTCTGCATTTTTTATTTTATTTTTTTTTCTACTTGCTTTGATTCTGTTTTATTTTACTATATTTAATCATGTAAAGCACTTTGCATTGTCTTCGTACTGAATTGTACTATACAAATACATTTGCTATGCCTTGCCTTACTTTCCTTCTCAGTACTAGCATCACCATGAAAATCTGTTTCAAGTTCCAGACTTTTACACCACTGATGACAGATTTTATTATGCATAGATATTAAGTTGTCAAAATAGATGAGAAAAAAATCATCAATTATTCAGTTCAGTTATTGACAGATATTTGTCTTTGGCAGGTCATTATCAAGTATTTGTCACAGCTCAGAACAGAGGACCCAGTATTCAAGGCAGACAGACAGATTCCTCAAAAAGCGTAGACGCCAGGATGTGTAAGTCAGGAACCTGTGCAAAAGGAAATCTCAGGTTAGAGATCACATTAATCTGATGAGGATGATTACGTACACGTGAGTCACTAACCTGGTCTTAAAGTTCAGTTCCGTGCCCAAAGGAAGAGGTGGATTCCAGCGGGATGGCTACCAACACCACGTGGCGAATACTGCCCAGAGAGTTCCAGATGCTGAAGCCTTGAAGACTGCAGAATTGGCAGGATATCAGATCCAAGTAGATGAAGGAAGGCAGGACAGTCCAGAGGGCGAAGCCAAAGCTGGTGTCAAAGAGGTTCACAGGATTTCGAGCCAGAAGATCAGAGATCTGAAGAGGTACCGAAGGGAAATCCAGGTCGATGTCAAGAAGCAGATCCAGGTTTGGTCAAGAGTCAGAATCCAACAGAAGTCCAAAGGCAGGGAAACAGATCAGAATGAGAACAGGCGGGCTAAGAGGTCCAAAGGCAGAGTTGGTCAAGATCAGGAAATCAGAGCACAATCAGGTATGCTAGAGCACTCTCACCAAAGGTTTGAATAATCTGGCACTGATGACTGAAAGCAGGAGGGTGAAACAGAGACCGAAGCAGGTGACACTTACTATTTACATTATGCCATTTGGCTTAATGTAAATGGTAAGGAAGGTAAATGGCTAGCTCCGCTAACCATTTAACTGCCTAGCGGGGCAGGTATGAATGAATGTATGAACAATCAAGCCAGTCATCAGCACCAAGATCATGACAGTATTCGCTCATAATAACATTAACACATTTGAAACAAAGCATTAAAACACACGGAAGCACAAATAAAGGATAGTGAATGTCAAAAGTATATTCTAAAAACTATTAAAAAAGCAGTTTCGCTTTTAAAGTGATAAATTGTTTTGTGTAGAAGCTTTGGGAGAAGGTTAGGAGCTCTGCTACAAATGTAGGTGGAGAGCAGTTTGAGTTGTAGATGAAAAACATGCATTTTCATAAAGAAATATTTCAGCCCAGTGAGCTACTCAGGCATCAAGGGAACCTTGAACAAAAGTTGATTTAACTCTGTATGTACCGGTTGTCAGTCAATTTCCAGCGGTTGAATCAGCATTCATCATGTGTTTGATATTTGAGCAACATCTTGAACTGAAAATAAAACCTTTATCTCAGTGTTAGATGCAAACCTGTTTAATATTTCTGCCGTAAAACGCAACAAGATGGCAAAAAGCTGATTGCATGGGACAGAAACTCCTGCGCAGAAACAAAATAGAACATCTCTCTGATTTTCAAAATAATAATTTGCTATTTAAAAAGTTTTCTGTGATAACCTGCCCTTATTTCAAAAGTCACCACAATGTTTCTTTAAAAGCCTCAGAATGCACCGTTTTTATTTAGAACTGTTAAAGCCTCCTACATTATTATTTATTTATTATATATTTTGGCATACATTTGGATATTTGGTCTTGTGCATTTAATATTTATACTTCAACTTATTTATAGGTACACTATATTGCCAAAAGTATTTGCTCACCTGCCTTGACTCACATATGAGCTTAAGTGACATCCCGTTCCTAATCCATAGGGTTCAATATGACGTCGGTCCACCCTTTGCAGCTAGAACAGCTTCAACTCTTCTGGGAAGGCTGTCCACAAGGTTTAGGAGTGTGTTTATGGGAATTTTTGACCATTCTTCCAGAAGCGCATTTGTGAGGTCGCACACTGATGTTGGACGAGAAGGCCTGGCTCTCAGTCTCCGCTCTAATTCATCCCAAAGGTGTTCTATCGGGTTGAGGTCAGGACTCTGTGCAGGCCAGTCAAGTTCATCCACACCAGACTCTGTCATCCATGTCTTTATGGACCTTGCTTTGTGCACTGGTGCACAGTCATGTTGGAAGAGGAAGGGGCCAGCTCCAAACTGTTCCCACAAAGTTGGGAGCATGGAATTGTCCAAAATGTCTTGGTATGCTGAAGCATTCAGAGTTCCTTTCATTGGAACTAAGGGGCCAAGCCCAGCTCCTGAAAAACAACCTCACACCATAATCCCCCCTCCACCAAACTTTACACTTGGCACAATGCAGTCAGACAAGTACCGTTCTCCTGGCAACCGCCAAACCCAGACCCGTCCATCAGATTGCCAGATGGAGAAGCGCGATTCGTCACTCCAGAGAACGCGTCTCCACTGCTCTAGAGTCCAGTGGCGGCGTGCTTTACACCACCGCATCCGACGCTTTGCATTGCACTTGGTGATGTATGGCTTGGATGCAGCTGCTCGACCATGGAAACCCATTCCATGAAGCTCTCTGCGCACTGTTCTTGAGCTAATCTGAAGGCCACATGAAGTTTGGAGGTCTGTAGTGATTGACTCTGCAGAAAGTTGGCGACCTCTTCGCACTATGCGCTTCAGCATCCGCTGACCCCGCTCCGTCAGTTTACGTGGCCTACCACTTCGTGGCTGAGTTGCTGTCGTTCCCAAACACTTCCATTTTCTTATAATACAGCTGACAGTTGACTGTGGAATATTTAGGAGCGAGGAAATTTCACGACTGGATTTGTTGCACAGGTGGCATCCTATCACAGTTCCACGCTGGAATTCACTGAGCTCCTGAGAGCGACCCATTCTTTCACAAATGTTTGTAAAAACAGTCTGCATGCCTAGGTGCTTGAATTTATACACCTGTGGCCATGGAAGTGATTGGAACACCTGATTCCAATAATTTGGATGGGTGAGCAAATACTTTTGGCAATATAGTGTATTTTTAACAATTTCACACTTTGACACAGGGCTGCTCTGAAACCCAAAAAACTATTTTCATTTCATGTTAACGTGTTGAAATGACTAATAAAACTACTTGAAACATGGTGTTGAAATGGCATATTTTTTCCATATCAGAACAAAGACGACATAAAAATCAAGTATAGAAGTTATAATTTCTGAAATCCATACTTACATTGAAGGTGATAGCTGAAATGCAGCCTTTAATACTATCTTGAAAGCTATTGGCTTTGATCAAAATAGGATAAGTCCCACACATTTTTATCTTCATAATTTAGACTTTTGCTGATTTACGGCATTTAATGTGAAGAAATAACAATATTTCCACACAACCCTTTCCTCTGTGACCACTTTTTAATAACTTTCAGAATTACTTTGACAATGTTCTCCTCCCACAAATGAAGGTTTCACTTTAGCAGATCATTATCAGATAATGCAGTTGTAAATTCTAAAGAATCTGTTTCTCTTTCTCATTCCTCTGTACAGTGCTGCAGAGGGCAAAAGTTTAGTTTATTCCCTTTCACTGTTATGATTAGCGCTGATGACTGCCTGATTGCTTTTTCATTCTTCTGCCTTGCTCTGCCCAGTTTCTCATTACCGCCAATCATATCCACCTTTTCCAGCTTCAACCTAAACTGCTTTCTCCCATTCATAAGTGTCAGATTATTTTTAAGCCTTTGGGGTGAGTGTTTTCTAGACAGTAACTGATTGTGTTCTGATTAACCGATCCTGAACCATGTTAGTTGTAGACATCTGAGCATGCCTGTCTCTGTTCTGAACTGTTAGGATGACTTGTCTTCAGACACCTGCTGGATTCTTCTTGTGGACTGAATCTTGATCTGCCTCCTGACTTTGACCTGGATTATCCTGCCTTCCTTTGTCTGTATGGATCTGACCTCCTGCCAGTTCGTAGCGTCTACTGCGTCTTGTCAGCCAACAGGCCGGAATCAACCTCGGGCACGGAGTGAACTGTAAAACCAGTTTGGTAACACGCGTTCGTAATCATCCGCTGTCAAATTATGGTGGGTACTTACCTGTGTTTCTCTACTGTAGAGATTCCTGCCTTAGACGCCCTAGTCGCTGCTACTGCAGATCCGCAGATCCAGTAAATAAATCCCTTTTGAATAATTCCATTGTTTGTCTTGCCTTAAATACTGTACTGTTCTGAGACGTGACATTCACAGGTTGATGATTTTGTTAATGGGGTTGCTAGTTCTCTGCCTACTGCCTTAGACAACATAGCCCCTTTGAAAAAGAAAAACTTTGAAAATAGAAACCTGGCTCCCTGGTTTAATGCAGAGGTTCAAACTCAGAAGCAAAATGCAAGGAAACTGCAGAGAAAATGGTGCTATACATGCAAATGGGAATCCTACCGAGTCTGGAAAAAATAGTTTACTGCTGTATAGAATGATCCTTCATGAAACAGTATATTTCTCCTAATTAATAGAGGAGAATAAGAATAGTCCTATATATATTTGAAATACATTTGCCAAACTCACCCAGAGCCATAGCTCTGTCAAACCATCCATCCCACCTGCTCTTAGCAGTAAGGATTTTATGGGATTGTTTATAAATAGGATTAACTCTATTAAAAATAAGATCATTAAAACCCCTCTAACTATGAGTCATTTAGGTCTACAATTTGAGGCAGCATCTGAGGTAGCCATAAAATCCGAACCAGTTTTAGACTGCTTTAATCCAGCTGAACTTTGAGAGTTGGCAAAACTATTATCTTCGTCTAAGCCTTCAACTTAAATGTTAGAGTTCCAGCCAGGTTATTTAAGGAAGTATTCCCTTAAATAACCCACCCTCTTCCTCCATTTTAGATGTGATTAATCTATCCCTGTTACAGAGATTTGTACCTCAGGCATGTAGTGATGGTGACATGAAGCCTCGTGAGGAATGAAACTGTTTGGGCAAATTGCTTTAATGATCCCCACAGTTCATCAAGCTTAATGTGAACATGTCACCACCTACTGGTGGAGAGCATAACTACAATTAGCAATATAAACTGATTTTTTTACAATGGTTTTTCGTGTTTGTTTTTTTTAAGATCCTTTATTGTTCATGACTGGTGTGTACAATAAAATCTTTTGTTTTTGTTTTTTTTAGCATAAAATGTCTTAGAAGAGAACAATCTTTTAAAGTAAAATTTTTCTGTCATTGTAGTGACATAAGCTCAAGCATACAGTGTTTGTGCAAACCGGACAATGATGAGCAAAATGAAGGATGTTAGTCATTTTTATTTTAAAAAAATTGCTTTTCCAAAGTTTTTAGTATTAATCTGGTTGGAAGTCAGGTGTTCAATCAATCTTTTGGTTAGACCAACCAATCTAATTTGGCAGTGTATTTACTCAATCTATATTGGTAAAAGAGCAAACCAATACAAATTGCTCATTTTGGTCAAAATACTGGTTAAGTACTACAGCAACTTTCAAAAGCTTATAACAACTCTCTCTGATCTGGTTGAATTGTCTCTGTAAAGTCCCTTGAGATGACATGTGTTTAGAATTAGTGCTATATAAATAAACTGAATTGAATCGAAATGTCTAGCAGGGTTGACAGAAGATCAGAAATTCA